CTCTCTCTCTCTCTCTCTCTCTCTCTCTCTCTCTCTCTCTCTCTCTCTCTCGTTCTCCTCTTACCACTGCCAACTCTAGAAACTCTTCACATTCTTTCACACTATCTTTTCCCTTTCCCCGATCCTTCACCTCCCCCAAATCATCCTCATCACCTCATCATTCAGATTCGCCTTTTTCTCCATTTCTTTCTCTTCATCCTCTTCTTTGCCATCAATTGCCTTCCCCGTTATAGAAAGTTCAAAAAGATTCCACCTGTTGAAGAATCGCCGCAACAGCCGCGATCAAATTCGTTTTCAAACTGCCAAGTGCAGCTGCTGTTGCTGCTGTTTGTGTCATCGCCATTTTACTGGCTCCTAACACTGGCACTAAACAGCAGCCGCTGCAGGCGCCGTCCGACCAGCAACACAACATCACGAGCATAAATCATATCGCTCGGAGGTTTTTCAGAGCTCCTTTACAAAGAGAGAAAAAGAGAGAGCTGTCGGCGAGAGCATTACCATAAAAACATTGCCGTTCACTTGGTCAAAGCGCTTCAATTTAATTTATCTCAGTCCATTTCGAACACCTCTTTCCGCTTTTGTTTTGTTTTCGTTCCTGATTGGTGCTCGTGCAAAAGCGGCGCGGGTCGTTCACTACTATCGACCGAACTGTGAAGTGACAGCACCAACTTCGTCGGCACTTTAGACCCGGTACTACCACTTGTGCACACACTTCTGTCCGCACCTACGCCTTCATCCGAAGTGCTGAAGAAGGGCACTTCAACTGTCTTTTGATGTCACCACCACCACCACTCTTTGACTTTATTTCTATCTATCCTTCCCCCTTTTTCTCATTGACTCACTTTCTCTCATTCATCCATTGTCTTCATCTTCACTTCTGGCATATAATATACACATACGCATCTTTCTTCTTGTCTAATTATAACCCCACTGCTTTTTCTCTCGCTCTCCTTGCCACATACATTCCTCTCACTCTCTCTTCAATGCCTGGTCACTTTGCGTCAACCGACTTTCCCCTCTCTCAACTGCCCTCAACTGCGAATTGCTGCTCTTTTCTATTTATTTGACGGAAAGTGTATCAGCAGTGAAGTGCTTGGCAATGCTTTGCAAGTGCACTGGCTGCCACTGTGCTGTGCACACACTCCTCCACAATGATCATCGACTGAAATGCATGCTGAAGACAGGTGTATTATTCTCTGACAGAAGCATACACAAACTTATATTATTAATATTACAGTAAAAACACCTGATGACCACACTGTGGGCGTGAGCACGTGTTTATGCGTTGGGCGATGATGGAGAGTAGCCGGGTGAACTGGGCGAGTACGTCGGACTGGCCACGCCCATATTGGGCGACAGATAGTTGGGAGAGGCCGGTGAATATCGGGTACTAGAGGGCGAATAATTGGGCGACGTCGGACTGTACGATGGACTGGAGGGCGAGTAAGAGGGCGATGAGGGAGAGTAGCCTGGTGACGTGGGAGAGTAATTATGGTTCGGTGATTTGGGACTGTACGAGGGAGAGGTCGGTGAGTAGTTTGAGGGAGAGGTCGGCGAATATCGCGGACTAGTGACCGCAAAGTTTGGCGATGATGGGCTATACGAGGGCGAAGTGGGTGAGTAGTTGGGCGATGAGGGCGAATAGCCGGGTGAGGTCGGCGAGTAGTTCGGACTGGCCACACCGCCAATTCCCGGCGACAGATAGTTGGGAGAAGCAGGCGAATAGCGGGTACTATTCGGCGAATAATTGGGCGACGTCGGACTGTACGAGGGACTGGTCGGCGAATAGGAGGGCGAAGTCGGAGAGTAGCCAGGCGACGTGGGAGAGTAATGGTGCGATGGGGATGTCGGACTGTACGAGGGAGAGGTCGGTGAGTAGTTTGAGGGAGAGGTCGGCGAGTATCGCGGACTAGTTGGTGAATAGTTTGGCGAAGTAGGGCTGTACGAGGGAGAAGTGGGCGCGTAGTTGGGCGACGTTGGTGAATAGCTGGGGGACGTCGGCGAGTACGACGGACTGGCGACGCCGATTCCAGGCGACATGGGCATGTAGTTGGGAGAGGCCGGCGAATACGAGGGCGACAGGGGCCCGCTGGGCGAGGGCAAGTAGGGTGAGGAGGGCGAGCTAGGCGATCCAATGCCACCCGGCGACCAGCTGGGAGAGTAGCCCGGGGAGAAGCCCGCTTCAGATGCGGCAGATGGCGAAAATCCAGCAGCATTGGGCGTCATGCCCATGCTTACGCCTGAAGACCACGGCAAACCGTATGCCGGCGTAGCAATGCCCTGTGCGTACGGCGTCATCTGTGGCGACATTCCCGAGCCCATCGTAGGCGAGTCCATGCCAAAGAATAGATCATTTCCTATGTTTATGAAAAGAAAAAGCAGTGTTATTATTGAAACGCATGAGTTTGAAAGTTGATCCAAAGCAGAGAAAGTTGCCACGAAACTTACCGAGACCAACCATATTGGTGGGAATTTCAATGCCGCTCTTGCACTTCTCCGGGTCGAGGAGCATGCCGAAAGCGCCAGTGCCAATGTTGGCCAGCTGACCGACGATAATGTTCTCGGAGACACCACGCAGATAGTCGACTTCAGCATGCATGGCCGCATCAATCAGCACGTCCACTGTCTCCTCAAATGAGCACCGCATGAGGGCGCCGACGTCCTGGCGGTTGATGCCGTGTCGCGTGATAGCCATCAGGTGGCCCTTGGCAGTCATGACGTCACAGAGCAACGCCAAGTGCCGGTAGTTGACGTAGGAGCTGTCAAAACTGATGACATAGTTCAACTCTTTCTCCACCGCCTTTCGCACCGCCTCAATGCCCAACGAGGAGAAGATCTCGCAAATGTCGTTAGAATACGTTCGAATGGGATCGACGTCTCGCTCGGCAAGAACGCGCATCAGCGAGGTGCCGTCTGTCTCGAGCAGCCACTCGGCAATCGCCTTGAAGTCGCCCTGCTCGGTGATGGTGATGCGCTTTTTGTTGTCCGTNTGCCGGTAGTTGACGTAGGAGCTGTCAAAACTGATGACATAGTTCAACTCCTTCTCCACCGCCTTTCGCACCGCCTCAATGCCCAACGAGGAGAAGATCTCGCAAATGTCGTTGGAGTACGTTCGAATGGGATCGACGTCTCGCTCGGCGAGAACGCGCATCAGCGAGGTGCCGTCCGTCTCAAGCAGCCACTCGGCAATCGCCTTGAAGTCGCCCTGCTCGGTGATGGTGATGCGCTTTTTGTTGTCCGTCGTGGGCAGGTGCATGTACACCTTGCTGATCTGCTCGATGCCCTGCAGGGTAATGTCACTGAGCAGAGAGGCCTCAATGCACCGCAGGAAGACGTCATCCTCCATCTTGTCCACCTGTTCCTCGTCTTCGGCCGACTTTTCCTCCNGGTGATGGTGATGCGCTTTTTGTTGTCCGTCGTGGGCAGGTGCATGTACACCTTGCTAATCTGCTCGATGCCCTGCAGGGTAATGTCACTGAGCAGAGAGGCCTCAATGCACCGCAGGAAGACGTCATCCTCCATCTTGTCCACCTGCTCCTCGTCTTCGGCCGACTTCTCCTCGGGGTTCATGATTCGAATGCGCAGCACCAGCTTGTCGGCGTTGTCATCGTTGAAGATGCAGTTTAAGTCATCGCCAAAGCCAGCGCTGATCTTCTCGGCAATCTGCTCCATGGACAGCTTCTTATCGGTCATTCGCTTTCGGTCCAGCTCAATACGCAGCAGCCATGGAGAGATGCGAGCAGTGTCAAAGTCCGGCATCTCGTAGTACACATTCACAAACTCCTGATCCTCGGTGATGACGGTGCTCAGGGGGTCAGGATCGTAGTAAATGGCCGTGTTTGCCGTCACTTTGCGCAGTGTAGTGTGCTCCAGTCGGCACAGCACGTCCTTGGCCTTCTCGGCGTCCCGAGCAGCTGCACCGGTGAGGAAGACGGTGAGAGAGGGCGTCTTTGGCTTCTTGGAGATGTTGATGATCTCCTTGAGACGCGGCACACCGAGGGTGACGTTCTTCGCGGACACACCGGCGTAGTGAAAGGTGTTCAGCGTCATCTGCGTGGCAGGCTCTCCCAGTGACTGGGCGGCCAGCGCGCCGACCATCTCACCAGGCTGCACCTGACTTTGATGGAACTTGCTGTCAATTTCACCGAGCAGCCAGTCGAAGGCTTCCGAGGAGAGGCGATCAATTTCGGTGATCTTCTTCGTGCAGAGAGTTGAGCGCAGCAAGGTGCGGAAGAGCAGAGTGGCGTTCTCGTTAGCAGTCACGGAGAGGGCATCTTCACCGGGCACAATGGTCAGCTTCTTCACCAGATTCTCAATGCCCTCGGTCACCTTCAGGGGCGACAGGTCAGTGGGCGCCCGCCGGTTGACGCGAAAGGTCTTTTGCGCGTTCCAAATCATACGCTGAATGTTGCAGGGCAGCACCACCTTGGAGTCTCCAGTGGGGAACAGCTTGCGAACAGTCTTTCGATCCTCAGTCAGACGCTTAAACTCCTCTTCGAGCTCAGACTGAAAGTTGGGATTTTCATTAAACTCGCGCAGGACATCCTCGGTGAAGATTTTGCGCATGAGGCGATCGTTGTTGACGTCCAGTCGAAACTGCTCTCTGAAGGCCTTGTCGTTCGGCTTGAGAGAGGCCAAATTTTGAAACTCCACACAGGCACCGTCAAGTCCGTCTTCACCGTAGCGGAGCTGAATCACCTGACCGTTTGAGTTTCGCACTGTGCCATCGTATGTGACCATGACAGACTCCATGGCCTTGATCAGACGACGTTGAATGTAACCAGTCTCGGCAGTCTTGACGGCGGTATCAATCAGACCTATATGAAAGAGAAGAATGCACAGTTTAGGATCATTTAATTGTTTGCACTAGCAGTTCACAATCACCCACCTTCACGACCACCCATAGAGTGGAAGAAGAACTCTGACGGAGTCAGTCCAGCAAGGTAAGAATTGACGACAAAGCCCCTCGACTCAGGGCCGTAATCGTCCTTAATAAAGTGCGGCAAGGTTCGCTTTCGAAAGCCAAAGGGAATTCGCTTTCCCTCGACGTTCTGCTGACCGACACAGGCGATAACCTGAGAAATGTTAATCTCAGAGCCCTTGGCGCCGGACACCACCATGGCCTTAAAGTTGTTGAACTCAGAGAGTGACTTTTGCGCAGATGCACCGGTTTTGACACGAGCGTCATTGAGAATTCGATTGACCTGGTTCTCAAAGGTCTGTCGAAGAGTGTTGCCAGGAGTGGGATCCAGATCGTCGTTGTGCGCTTTTTCAATCACCTCAATCACGTCGTCTTTAGCCTTTTTAATTGTCTCTTGGATATCCTGCAATGAAGAAGTAGTAGTTCATGAAACGAACTAACCTCACAATAAAAATGCACTTACGCGATATGTTTCCGGGTCAGCGATGGTGTCACCAATGCCGATTGAGTGACCTTCGAGCAGAAGCCATGCGTTCACTACCGTCTGAATGTGCCAGTAGAAGAGGCCGCAGGTGTGGAAGCCCGCCTCCTGAAAGACAACGTGAAGCAAGTTGCCGGCTGCCTTGCCGACGGTCTTTGAGCAGACGATTCCGGTGAGGAGCACTCCATTCTCAATGAGAACCTTGGTGTCACCCGGCGAGATCCATTTGTACGGGCCACTGTCCTCCTCATCAGGATGCGTTGAATGGTTTCGAATGAGCGACACATTGCCCGGAATAATGAGCGAGAAGAGCTGCTTTCCAGTCCAGAGGGGCACCGGCTTCAGGATGGCCGGCATGGGCACCTTGCCGTCCCAGGTGGGCAGAAACATGAGCAAGTTCATCATCTGCTCCCAGGTGAGGTACACATCTCGACGGGTCATCTTTCGGACAGCAGTCAGCGTGTCCTGCACGATGCCCATGACGGGCTTGTTCGACTGAGGAGTGATGATGTTGCGCGGCACCATGGCCAGATTCTCAATTTCGGCGCGGGTCTCCAGCGACTGCGGAACGTGCAAGTTCATCTCATCGCCGTCAAAGTCAGCGTTGTACGGCGTGGTGACAGAGAGGTTGAAGCGAAAGGTGGACCAGGGCAGCACTCGAATACGATGGCCCATCATACTCATCTTGTGCAGCGTTGGCTGACGATTGAAGACGATGACATCGCCGTTGCGAATATGCCGCTCCACTTTGTAGCCAAACTCCAGATGCAGATCCGATGGTCGAGGGTGGAATCGCAGATCGATACGTTCACCATTGTCGCGAATAATGTACTTTGCGCCCGGATACTGGTTGTTGCCTTTCCGAACAAGCTCTTTTAGTTGATCTGGATAAACGAAAGAGCCAAAGTTATAAAATGTGCTTTACCGGAAAAAGAACAATAACAAACCGATATTGAAAGGTGTCACGATTTCAGGGAAAGTCAAGTTTTGGGCAATCGACCGAGGAACGCCGACTTCGTCGATTCGCAGGTTGGGATCCGGTGTGATGACGGTTCGAGCGGAAAAGTCCACTCGCTTGCCCATCAAGTTGCCTCGAATGCGACCTTCCTTCGCCTTGAGACGCTGCTTGATCGACTTTAGCGGTCGACCCGATTTCTGCTGTGCGCGAGGAATGCCGGGAATTTCATTGTCGACAAAAGTGGCCACGTGAAACTGAAGCATCTTTACATTTTCGGCAATAATGTGCGTCGCCGCACCGTTCTGTTCATTTCTGATCAGCTCGGCGTTTGTCTTGACAATATCAGCCAATTTGTGCGTCAAATCGTCCTGATTTCGAGCGGAACCAAACATGACAACGGCAGGCCGTACACAGAGCGGTGGTACGGCGAGCACAGTGACCAGCATCCAGTCGGGCCGAGCGAACTTGGGATCCATTCCGATGATGCTGACCTCTTCATCGGAGATGGCTTTGAAGATGGCGTGAACACGCTCTGCAGTGAGAAGAATCTTTTTCTCTTGGGAATCTTCATTCAGGTGCTTCCACTCGGCGTACAGATCGAGGCCTTCTCGGCGAATCTGTGGCTGGTAGCGGCCGCAGCCGCCGTGCATGTTTACTTTCTTTTTCAGTGCAATATCGTCATACTCATTCATGTTGTCTTTGCCAAGGTCATTGTCGTCAGAGCCTAAGTGAGTAGAATAACACTGTCATCACGAGAAAAAATAGTGGCGTAAAAACGTACCTTCACAGATGTTTTTCCCCTTGCAAAGGTCGTAAACGTGGGTAAGACGTTTTCGGGGGTTTCCTTTTGTTTCGGAAACGATTTCTTTTATTTTTGGGTTTGATGGTGAGACGAGAAGTTTTGAACAGTAAAAACAAAAGCAGCGGAGCACTTTGATAGATTTGTTGAGGAAGCCAATATGAAACACGGGTTTTGCGAGTTCAATATGTCCAAAGTGGCCCGGACACTCTACCAAATTACCGGCGCATGTTTGGCAACGAGAATTTCTATTTTCATAGAAAATGGGGGTTAACATACAAAGACAATGACAACGTCATTGACAGCGATAATTCCCAAAACATTACCTGTCAATCACGCCCTGCCTTGGGTCCATTAATCCCAAGATCTTCGGTCTTCCATTCTCGTAGATCTCCGGGTATAGGACGCCTCCTTCCGTTACAGAGTTTCGGCGAATTTCATCCGGCGATAAGATTCCGAATTGTACCCGCTTGACGATGCGCACGGGCGCCTTGGAATCGGTGGTGACAATGTTACTCATCTTGATGGAGATGAGAACGATATAATCTTATCTCAATAATCAAGATTTTATCGTATATTCCGGCGTTTGAAGAGATAATAGGATTACTCCCGTGGTCTTGAAATGACAGAATCTGGCCAGGCCAGACGTTGGTGAAACGCAAACAACAACGGCGGCAAAGAAATGCTGCGAGCAAAAAGACCGCAAAAGTGAAAACAGGCACTGAGGTGAAAACAGCCACCGCCATAGAGGCTGCAGCGCTGCTACCTGGTGTCTGAAAATGTAACAACGAAAGCAGTTTTTGAATTTCAAAAGCGGAAAGAGGACTCGAAACTATTTTTCGAAGCAAAACTTTTATCAAAACANAGGCACTGAGGTGAAAACAGCCACCGCCATAGAGGCTGCAGCGCTGCTACCTGGTGTCTGAAAATGTAACAACGAAAGCAGTTTTTGAATTTCAAAAGCGGAAAGAGGACTCGAAACTATTTTTCGAAGCAAAACTTTAATCAAAACACATCAGGGGACACATTTTTAACATTTTTGATCAAACTGGGCTCAAAATTGACTATTTTTAACGGTTTTTAAAACCACCGTAACTGTCAGCTCTGCGACGAGTGCCGCTACCTATTGGAAATGCTCAGCAACTGAACTGAGCTGCCACTGGCAGTTTGCCTACCTGTCACAGTGCAGCGCTGGTGAAATCTACCAAAAAGCCTCTAGCGAAGAAGCAGTGTCTGTCTGTGGCCTCTCAAAGAAACAGCCACCTGCTGTTGACTTGAGCGCGCATCCCTCGAGCTGGCTTCGCTGCCAACCACCACTATTGCTCTTCTACCAGCGGACTTCAAGGCAACCACTCACCACCACTGTTTGTGATCGTCGTCGCTGCCGCCGCCCAAGCGTTGCTAGGTGTGATAGAGTCAGTGAGTTGTGCGTTAGCGTGACTATGCGCCCATCGCCCGTCACCATCGCCACTGTCCTCTGGTAGCCATTAACCAGTGTGTGTGTCTTCTGAAACCAGACTACTGCATTCTATATAGCTGCAGTTGACAGCCGCAATTGCAGCAGTGACTTTTTCTGTGCTAGCGTGTTACACTGCCCTCGAAGCCCAGTGTGTTGCCGCCGTGGAGAGACAGACGAGCATCGGCATCGAAAGAAATTAGTAATCTTCACCCCATTCCACAACCCAACGACCAAGAGAACCTTTTCTCACTGCCCCAACTTTAACTAGGCCAACTCCCAAGGTAAGTCTTGTTTCCATTTTTCTGTAAACTGTCAAATGTCCAATTCTGCTGAACATCATCATCATCATCGCCATCATCTGTTTACGCTCCAACCGTCATCAAGCCAACTTCTAAATTAGGAAAAGACAAACAAACGCCTATTTGTTTAGTATCAACAGCAGCATCTGTTACATCGACTCTCGAGCCTTAGTTTCAAGGACTTTTTAATTTGCCTATGACAGACGGCAAGCGTAGATATATTCTGGCAGTGAATTAGCAGTGAACCCATGCCCTGTTTGCCCATTTACAAATGTTGACGTCTGACACACTCCGGATCTTGCTTGTGGCGCTGGCTAATTGTCCCATTTCCGATTTGGACTCCCTTGGACGACAACTGCCAGACTGCCTCCTCTACTGATTGATTGACATGCTACAGTGTTCACTTTCCATTGAGAAGAAATACACTTTGCCTTTTCGTGTTCACCCCAGTGCGTGTCCTCCAGTGCTGCTGCTGCTGATGATGATGATGCACACCATTTTGGGTGGACCCGCTGTCTTTGACTGTCATCAGCGCTGTCGCCTGCCCTCTCCTCTTTCTCCTTCTCTTTTCCCTTCTCGCTCGTCTCACTACCATCTCCGTTGCGATCCGTTGTGCTACATTCTTGCTCACCACCACCACCATCACTTTATCGCTTGCATGTATGCACGCTCGCCGTGATAAGGCAGCCGCGCTGTGCAGCCTTCTATCGGTCGTACTTTACTTGTTCTTTCTTTCTTCTTTCATTTACCAACACAATTTGTGCAATCAATAACTAACTGGAAACTCTCATATTTCCTAGGAGCGGCCAGTTCTCTTTACCATCATCACCACTTTCATCTATGCCAGCCTAACACCAACACAAAATGGACGTTCCGCCGGCCAAGGATATTAAAATTTTAGAAACAGTTCAGGAGATTCAAGACCGCCGAAAGACCGTTCTCAGTCGCTACGATGCCTTCAAGGATGGCTCGAAGAGTAAGCGCTCCAAGTTGGAGGACTCTCGCCGTTTCCAGTACTTCAAGCGAGATGCCGACGAGCTGGAGTCGTGGATCAACGAAAAGCTGCAGACTGCCTCGGATGAGTCCTACAAAGACCCCACCAACCTTCAGGCGAAAATTCAAAAACATCAAGCCTTTGAGGCCGAGGTGTTGGCTCATTCCAACGCCATCGTTGAGCTCGACCAGAACGGTTTTGAGATGATTTCGCAGAATCACTATGCATCGGAAGTGATCAAGGTAAGTCAGACAGAAGGGAAAAATTGCACTAGTCATCGTGCTAACGCATGTGTTCTTCTAGGATCGCCTCGACGAGCTGCATCGCCTGTGGGATCTGCTGCTTTCCAAACTCAACGACAAGGGCTACAAACTTCAGCAGGCCCTGGTGCTGGTGCAGTTTCTTCGCCAGTGCGATGAGCTGATGTTTTGGATCAAGGACAAGGAAGCGATTGTCGCCTCCGATGACATCGGCCACGACCTCGAGCACGTCGAAGTGCTGCAGCGCAAGTTCGACGAGTTCAAGAAGGACATGGCCAGCCAGGAGTTTCGCATCAACGAGATCGACCAGAAGGCAGCGGAGCTGATTCAGGCAGATCACACGGAGAAGGAGCAGATCAGCCGCCGAGCGGCGGAGATTCACGAGGCCTGGGCTCGCCTGCTGGAGCTGAAGAAGCGACGAGAGGAGAAGCTGTTTGGCGCCCACGAGATTCAGCGCTTCAACCGCGACGCCGATGAGGCCATTTCGTGGATCAACGAAAAGGACGCCATCATCTCCACGGACGACTACGGGCGCGACCTCGTCTCGGTGCAGAACCTGCAGCGGAAGCACGAGGGCGTCGAGCGCGACCTGGGCGCCCTCGCGGAGAAGGTCGACCTGCTGAGTCAGGAGGCGGACCGCCTCTGCGAGAAGCACCCCGACCTGGCCGAGCAGACGCAGGCGAAGCAGCGGGAGATTGAGGGTGCCTGGCGGCAGCTGCAGAGCAAGTCCGCCGAGCGGCGCGTCAAGCTGGAGCACTCCTACCTGCTGCAGCAGTTTCTCGCCGACTACCGCGACCTGATCAGCTGGATTCACGACATGAAGACCATCATCTCCTCGGACGAGCTGGCGAAGGACGTGGCCGGGGCGGAGGCGCTGCTCGAGCGCCTGCAGGAGCACCAGAGCGAGATTGAGGCGCGCAAGGACGCCTTTGCCGCCTTCAAGGTCTCCGGGCAGTCGTTGATTGACAACGGCATTTCGCCGGCTGAGGTGGGCGAGAAGATGGCCGCCCTCGAGTCGGAGTACGAGTCGCTGATTCAGCTGCGTGAGGAGCGCCGTATCCTCTACGAGCAGTGCATGGACCTGCAGCTCTTCTACCGCGACACCGAACAGGCGGAGACGTGGATGACGAAGCACGAGACCTTCCTCCTCAATGAAGACCTGGGCGACTCGCTGGACTCGGTGGAGGCGCTGCTGAAGAAGCACGACGACTTCGAGAAGACGCTCGCTACGCAGTCAGAGACGGTGAACAACCTGGACAAGTTCGGCGAACGGCTGATCGAGGCGCAGCACTACGCCAAGGAGGACATTCAGGAGCGCCGGGAGGTGCTGCTGCAGCGGCGGTCGCAGATCCTCGAGCGCAGCGCCAAGCGGCGCAACCTGCTGATGGAGGCCTACCAGCTGCAGCAGTTTGAACGGGACTGCGACGAGATCAAGGGCCTCATCACCGAGAAGCTGAAGACGGCCATTGACGAGAACTACCGCGACCCGACGAACATCAACGGGAAGCTGCAGAAGCACCAGCAGTTCAACCAGGAGCTGGAGGCGAATCGCGGAAGAGTGGAGGAGGTCAATGAGACCGGCAATGAGCTGGTGGAGAAGAAGCACTACGCCGCGGAGCACATCAAGGCGCGCGTCGCGGAGATCAACGAGCTGTGGTCCGCCGTGAACGACTCCTCGGAGAAGAAGGGCTCCAAGCTGATGGAGGCCTCCTCGCAGCAGAAGTTTAACCGAAACGTCGAGGACGTCGAGCTGTGGCTCTCCGAGATGGAGAGTCAAATCGTCTCGGAGGACGTCGGCAAGGACCTCACCTCGGTGCAGAACATGCTGAAGAAGCACGCGCTGATTGAGTCTGACATTGCCTCGCACCAGGACCGCATTGACGATATTGCCCGCCAGGCGGACAAGTTTGTCGAGGACGGGCACTTTGATGCGGAGAGCATCAAGGCGAAGCAGGCGGCCCTCAATGATCGCTACCACTCGCTGAAGACGCCGCTGAACCGCCGTAAGGCTCGCCTGAATGACGCCCTCAAGGTGCAGCAGCTCTTCCGGGACATTGAAGACGAGGAGGCGTGGATCCGCGAGAAGGAGCCCATTGCCGCGTCCACCAACCGAGGCCGTGACCTGATTGGCGTGCAGAACCTAATGAAGAAGCACCAGGCGATGATTGCGGAGATCAACAATCACGAGCACCGCATTCGCACGGTGGAGCAGGTGGGCGAGGACATGATCCACACGGGGCACTTTGCCTCGGAGGACATCAACCGCCGCCTGGTGTGGCTCAATGAGCAGTGGCACTCGCTGAAGGAGAAGGCCGCCCGGCGCAAGCAGGACCTGGAGGACTCGCTGCAGGCGCAGCAGTACCTCGCCGACGCCAATGAGGCGGAGTCGTGGATGCGCGAGAAGGAGCCCATCGTCGGCAGCGACGACTACGGCAAGGACGAGGACTCGACGGAGGCGCTGCTGAAGAAGCACGAGGCCATCATGGCCGACCTGGAGGCCTTCGAGAATACGATTCGAAATCTGCGCGGCCAGGCGCAGTCCTGTCGCCAGCAGGAGGCGCCCTCCGGAGAGTACGTGCCCGGCCGCGAGGCAGTGGTGGCGCTGTACGACTATGCGGAGAAGTCGCCGCGCGAGGTGTCGATGAAGAAGGGCGACGTGCTGACGCTGCTGAACGCCTCCAACAAGGACTGGTGGAAGGTGGAGGTGAACGACCGCCAGGGATTTGTGCCCGCCGCCTATGTGCGCCGAGTGGATGAGAGCCTCTCCGCCAGCCGCCAGCACCTGCTCAGCCAGAACTCCCTCTCGGCGCGACAGACGCAGATTGAGGCGCAGTACGAGTCGCTGCTGCAGCTGGGCAGAGAGCGAAAGCGCAAGCTGGAGGAGGCCTGCCGCGGCTACCAGCTGATTCGCGAGGCCGCCGAGCTCACCCAGTGGGTGAAGGACAAGGAGCAGGTGGCCTCGGTGGGCGAGGTCGGCGAGGACCTGGAGCACGTCGAGGTGCTGCAGAAGAAGTTCGACGACTTTCTCTCCGACCTCAAGTCGAATGAGGTCCGCCTGACGGAGATGAACCAGATGGCGAATCAGCTGGCCGACCTGGGGCAGACAGAGGCGGCCAACAAGATCAACCGACAGGTGGAGGAGCTCAATCAGAAGTGGGTGCACCTCCAGGAGATGACCTCCAGTCGGGAGCAGCAGCTGGCGTCCGCACATGAGGTGCAGCGTTTCCACCGGGACATTGACGAGACGAAGGACTGGATCAGGGAGAAGGACGAGGCGCTGGACACTGACGACGAGGGCAGCGACCTGCGCTCGGTGCAGACGCTGCAGCGCAAGCACGAGGGCCTGGAGCGGGACCTGGAGGCGCTCTACGAGAAGGTGAAGCAGCTGGACAAGACGGCGGCCAACATTGAGCACCGCCACCCGGAGTCGGCGGAGCAGACGCGCGAGAAGCAGACGGAGATCATCGAGGAGTGGAACAAGCTGCGCATCAAGGCCAATGAGCGCCGCGTGAAGCTCTCCAACTCGTACGAGCTGCAGCGCTTTCTCAACGACCACAGCGACCTGATGCTGTGGATCAACTCGATGAGCAGTCTGGTGTCCTCGGACGAGCTGGCCAGTGACACCATCGGCGCGGAGGCGCTGCTGGAGCGCCACGGCGAGCTGTGGACGGAGATTCACGCCCGGCGGACCAACTACAACACCATCGAGGAGTTCGGCCAGCGGCTGATTCGCAACCAGCACTACGCCGCCGATCTGGTGAAGGAGAAGCTGGGCGCCCTTTACCACGCCTTCCAGGACCTAGAGCGCGCCTGGACGGAGCGCAATGAAAAGCTGCGCCAGTGCCTCGACCTGCAGCTCTTCTACCGCGAGTGCGAGCAGGCGGAGAGCTGGATGGCCAACCGGGAGTCCTTCCTCACCTCGCCCGACGACGACGACAACGTCGACATACTGATCAAGAAGCACGAGGACCTCAACAAGGCCATTCGCATTCAGGAGGAGAAGATTGAGAATCTGAAACGGCTGGCGGACAACCTGGTGGAGAACAACAACTACGCGAAGGAGTCGATTGAGGACAAGCGCGACCAGGTGCTGGAGCGGTGGAATCTGCTGAAGGAGGCGCTCATTGAGAAGCGCAGCAAGCTGGGCGACACGCAGACGCTGCAGCAGTTCTCCCGTGACGCCGACGAGATCGAGAAGTGGATCACTGAGAAGATGCAGATGGCAATGGACGAGTCGTACAAGGACCCGACCAACATTCAGTCGAAGCACCAGAAGCACCAGGCCTTCGAGGCGGAGCTGAGCGCCAACCAGGAGCGCATCCAGCAGATACTCGCCATGGGCGACAATCTGATCGACAAGGATAAGTGCTCGGGCAGCGACGATGCCGTTCGCCAGCGGCTGACGATCATCACCGAGCAGTGGAAGTACCTGACGGAGAAGACCACCGAGAAGTCGGTGAAGCTGAAGGAGGCGAATAAGCAGCGCTCCTACAATGCCGCCATCAAGGACATTGACTTCTGGCTGGGCGAGGTGGAGTCACTGCTCAAGTCGGAGGACGTCGGCAAGGACCTCAACTCAGTGCAAAATCTGATCAAGAAGCACCAACTGGTGGAAGCGGACATCATCGCCCACGAGGACCGCGTCAAGGACATGAACGTGCTGGCGGACTCGTTGATTGACGCCGGCCAGTTTGACACCAACGTCATCCAGGAGCGACGCGCCTCCATCAACGAGCGCTACGAGCGCATTCGCACGCTGGCCACCTACCGACGAAATCGGCTGAATGAGGCGAACACGCTGCACCAGTTCTTCCGCGACATTGCCGACGAGGAGTCGTGGATCAAGGAGAAGAAGCTACTGGTCTCCTCCGACGACTACGGCCGCGACCTGACCGGCGTGAAGAACCTCCACAAGAAGCACAAGCGCTTCGAGAATGAACTGGCCGCCCACGAGCCGACCATCCAGGCGGTACAGGAGGCCGGCCAGAAGCTGATGCTCGAGTCGAATCTGGGCGTGCCGG